AATGGTCATGACACCGACCGCCAGATGCTGGTGGACATCACGCACGCGGGTTTGATGGGCGCGCATGCAACTGCGAGCGGCACATACGCATGCACCACACAACACATATGCAAGGTAAGCAGCAGCTGAATACTGCAGTAGGGTTAGGAGAATACAGTCCAAATTAAAAGGAAATAAACAGCAATCATCCAAACAAGCCCCACCTGAGTGGGCCTAAGCAAAACTTTAATTAATTGTACTCTTTTAAAATAGAAAGTTCTGCAAAATACGTACAGTACATATACACATCCTTACTGTTAGAAGCAGAGTTAAAACAGTGCATTTTTTGCAGTTCTCATAGGTTTTGCATGTTTTTATATATGCATATGTATTCTGATACTTTTTTTTAAATAATATTTTTTGCTTGCTTTGATTGTCTAAGATATCTGTGCTCATGGAGTAAAATCATTAAAATCGCAATTGTTAAATGAAAAGAAGTTATTGGAACTAGTGCTGTGCGACCTATTTGTGTCAGGCCAGATTTTGGAGGATGACAAAATATTACTAAACACTAAAGATACTTAGCAGAGAATAATTCATTTATGATTTTTTAATTCTAATTTATCAAATAACGTTCAAAAATGAGCATGAATTGGGTCATTTTTGTTTCTATAAAAATCAAAAGAAAAAGATCTATTCATGTATGATTCAACCACTTGATTATACTACGAGATTATTAATTGTAAAAGTCACAGGTGTATGCCATTAGAATAGGCATTATGTCACAAAAAGCAAAATAATTTGGCAACAACAAGTGTAATCTGATTTTATCTTAGGTAATGAGAGCTTTTAGCAATAAATTATAAGGAAAAGCATCTCACCAGTCAGCATACTGGAAATCTGCCTCTCATCATAACTTCTTTCAGAAAGATAAGATACTCTTTCATCGGTAGTGTTTATTTTTTAAATTAACCACCCCCAACTCCAGATTTTTTACTATTTCACTCCAAACTTTCCAATCGGAATATCTTATCCTCCAACAGGCATGCTAGAAGCCTCATTGTTTAGCATACAGTATAGCAGGATGTGATACACATTTATAATATTTTGACATACCAAGAAATTACCCTGCTTCAAAACTTGCCCTTTAACTACACATTATTCCTGAATGTGTAAACTCTAAATAAACAAATAAATACATAACATCTCCCAATCGCATCTGTTCAGGCAGCTGAGGATCTTTTTGGGAAGTCCAATCTGCATCACTTGCCACCAGGATGCTCACAAATGGCTAAAATTCGCTCATGAATGGCTAAAATCTGGATCATCAGTACAGAGTTGCCCTATATATGGATCAAACAGAAATCCCATAGCCATATGGGAAAGCTAACACTTCTTTTGCTGTATGGTCTTAGGAGGCATTCTCAATTTAAGTATATGAAATTTAAGCTCTTTACATACTGCAGTGAGTTTCTGATATTTTTCATAATTGAATTTTCATGATTGAATTTTATAATTTCTGATAATAATAATTGAATTATTTAATTTTTTACATCTATGCTAAAATAATTTCAATAAAATTAATTCAATTAAAATAATTTAAATTATTACCTATATAGAGGTAACTGAGTATAAGATAGGCAGCATATTTGTGAATGTAGGAGTTAGTCTAATTACTATTTTATATCATCCACATTTGCATAGTAGTAAATACAAGCAAAAAAAATAGGCTTAACCATCCAACACAACATTTGAGAATTTATTCATCTCAACCACACTAAATTTTATCAAAATCATCCTCATTATTACACAGCATTTTAAAAACAACCAAGGATGACAATTTAATTGGGGTGATATATCTTGTCATATATCTGCTACCTAGAGAGTAAATAAAATCTAATAAATAAGTAAATTGATCTGAAAACTGAAAATATAACTATGCTTTGAATTATTAAGCCCAGAACATATTCTTATATACTGATTCGATATTAATTTTGTAGGTCATCTTCCTCTCCCTGTGATACAAATTGTCGAATTCTACTAGAATTCTTGTTAGAACGTCCTCCAAGATACATGACTGGGAAAGATTGATTTCTAAAATGAAATATAAAACTTCAGATTAAGAACCGGGTACTCAACCTTAAACATTTTCAGGATGAAGTCCAGTATACCAGCAGTTCAAATGAAAAGAAAAGCTAGTCACTTCAGGCAAAGTCAAGAGTTTCACTTGCTAAACAGAAAGCTAGCAATGATGAGTAAAACCATTACACCAATTATTCCCCTTATTGGAGTAACAGGCAGCTGGGTACACAAAAGGCTGCTACCCAACAACTCTATGCACTCCCTCTATTTGGAAGACTCAGGTAATTGTGTAATACTCAGTTTGCTGCATAAAATATCCCTTTGAAAAACAAACTAAAAAGACATTTTACTGCAGTGTTGTTCATCCACAGTGATTTTCCTTAGCTCTCTCTGTGTAATAAATTACATTATTCCTTAATACTGGACAGCGCAGTATTACCTGTAAAGAGGAAACAAATCTTTTTCGACTGTCCCTATTAACGGCGTCTCATATAAAAGCATAATATTTCTCTGCTTTATGACCTTCGACTGTGGGAGGGTAATGCCAAAATAGCTTGGACAGCAAAGCTATTACTGACAGACTCAGACTGCTTTTATCCAAACACACACAAAAATATGTAATCAAATCTCTTTTCCAATGTAACTGATAAACATTTCAGTTCAGTGCTGAAACACTTCAGTTCAGTGGTGCAAATTTGCAAGACGTTCTAAGTTGTTCAGAAGAAGTTATTGCCTAAACAATAATACTTTAAATTAAAAAAAAACCTTATAAGATATTATTACGTGTTTCCATTATTTCTGGAATGTCATAAGGAAAATCAACTGGTGAGAAAGCTATTTCCAAAACTCCATCTCTGTCATGCCAAATACCAAACACCTCATTCCAATAATGGACTTCTTGATCTACTTAGTTAGCTTGAAGAAAAGCAGAAAAAGAGCACTACGAGAACCCATTAATGCTCTTCCTGTTGGGTATTCAAGCAGATGTATCATGATAATGTTCCAGAACATGTGTAAGCAAACACATGAAACTCATATAGCTGATAAGATTCTCATTAAAAGAACAGAGAATAAATTTCAATTGAGATTTTCATCAGATTAGTGTTTTTTTTCTTGACTTTGCTGATGCTAAAGGAATCCATGTTACCTTACAACCTCTGAACAGGAGTTCACTGTATTTTACCATAAATGTGCCACTACTACTCAAGTCAAAAGCCAGACCGAAAGTAGTAACACATCAAACTACATTTAGAATTGTCAGAACTGACGGGATCTATAAAACTTATAGTTATTTTCGCTAATAGCTAAACAGCTAAAAACAAAAACAAACAACAACAACAACAACAAAAATTTATGAAGGAATTATAATAAACAGGAAAAAATGTTTAATTTTGTAATTGGAATATGCTTATGAAAATGCAAAATATCAAATAATACTTCACTGCTAAATCTCAAGAAGCACAAATGTTAGTTTTTTTGAAGTTTCTTTCTTTTCAGGGTGGAAAGAAACATATCTGCAGACAGCAGCACTAGGTCCAAAATTCCTTGGCAGAGATGAAACTGGTTTATTGATGTTCTTCAATAATAATCACAGCATTCACCTGGAACTTCACTTGAAACCACTGAACATTTATGTTCAATCTAGATCCCTCACTATTAGCACCCGGAGGATTCAATTTCAAGCAGATTAGGCATGCTGTACTGTATCAGAAATGCTATTTAGGATGCTCTTAAGTGTCAGAAAAGCAAATTTGTGTCCAAATATATGCTTTCCTCTTACAACGCTTTAAGTTATTCTGCCACAGGAGGACAACAAGAAAGAAAACTCTCATGAAAATACTGAAACTTACGACTTCTCGCTGTTCCTCTCTCGGAGTCAAAAGCACTGACAACAAAATGCTTCCCATATCTTGGTCAGGATAGTGAGGATCTTTCAGATTCAAGGTAACATCTGTTTGCCTAGGGGACAAAAATATAAGTGTGTATTTTGATTTCAGACTCTCATATAATACAGCGAAATTTCTGAGTTGTAAGTATGAATGGAATAAGCATTTATAGGAAACTACTTGAAAATGATTTCATAAGTTCTTCCTACATCTAATTTTAAAAATTACAGTCTAAATACTCCTACACAAATACTAAATACAGATACTTCGTGTTAAAGTACTACACATACTAAAGTAGTTAAAAATGAACTATAATATTAATTTCAATTAAAGGAGAAGGAAAGTTAATCAAACAGTAGGTGGTAATGCTCTGAATGAAGCCAACAGGAAACACCAATAGAGTGGTTATAAAACTAATCTCTCTGTAGGCCCAGTAACAAAGGTTTCTGTACAATCCACTGATATAGCTAATATATGGCTTACATTCTTAGTACATTAATTCCTTAAACCTAAAGGTTTTTTTCTCTGCTAGATTTAAGTGACAAAGGTTTATTGTTATTATTTTTATGCACAATGATTTGCAATTCCACAAATATGACATTAGAAGATGAGCCCCCACAGGCTTGTTTGTGCCATACCTGTTCAATTCTAATGAAGCCAAATCCAAAAATGCTGAACCAATAAAGTCGTCTTGCAGTCCAAAGTCATAGTCAAAGACCTAAGATGCACAGGACATAAAAGCATTTTCCAGCATTAGATTAAAAAAAAAAAAAATGTTTTTAAGCCTCATGTATGGGTCTTGAAGCTCAGTTTCCAGAGCTAAACTACATTTCCCAGATCTTAAATCAGGCCTAGCTAAAACTAAGCTGAAATTCAATGGCTGCTAAATAAAACTCTAAGCTGCATTTTTAAAGGTCAGACATGTGGGATATGATACCTCTAGTCTCTTTGACCTGAATCATCCATTTTATAACAACATAAAAGCTTTTTATTTTATTTTTTTTAATATATACACAAGGACCAAAGACAACCAAAAGCAAATAAAACAAAAAGCTGAAGAAGGAGGCAGTATCATACATTTGTTATTTTGTTATGCATCAGTTAATAAACTTACAAATTTTACAATATGCAAGGCACAAGGGTAGGATGTAACTATGAAAAAATAGATAATTGTAGCACTTACATCAGTCTTAGGAGGAATACAATTGTATCTGATTAGGTTCTGGAGGCCTAATAAATTTCTAGATATTGTAAATTTTATAACATAAGATTAAAAAATACTGGATAGATGCAGGGAGATATTGACATTTGCTATTCCACTCTGAGTAGTCTGCCTGCTACCTTGCTGCCTAGTGGAGAAAGCTGGACAAACTTGCAGAAATCTAGATGAGAATCAGTGACTAGTAAATCGAATAATGAGAGGTAGATTATGCCTTCTCAAATCACAGGAATGAACTGATGTAGTGGTGGCTTTTGGAGGGAAACAAACAAAAAAAGGGGAAAAGCAACAAAGAAAAGTAGCAACATATTTTCAAAAATATCAATAATAAGAAAATATAAATTATGAAAACCAAAGTTTCGGGGCAAATGAAACTTCATAGCAAATACTGTCATAAGAATTTCTGAGAAGATGGATATGCTTCCAGTTCTAAGAGTGACACTGATGAACAGCTAGTAAGGAGAATTTTTAACTGATCAGTCTTAGCTTCAAGCTCTTTGATTTTGAGATAAATACTTAAATACTACATTATGGAATCTCTTTTCCAGGCTGTTAAAATTGCCCATCTCTTACAAATATATTAATATGCTAAAGACAGAGTTAAACAGTCATTACATATCTCACTGGTGACAGCGCTGCTGTGGGATACAGATGATTGAATGCAATTCCCACAGATGCAATCTACGTAAGCACAGCACACTCATAACTTTGATATCTAATCATCATGCAGGAAGAAAACAAAAGGATAAAGCCTCCGCATATGCTGCAAAACAGAACTGTTTTCTCCTCTGTTATCAAGAAAAAAAAAAAAGAAGAAAAAAAAATCAAGAAACCATCTAATGAAGGATTTCAGCTGACTTAGTGTAGTTTAATCCTGTCTTAGAACACCTGAATAAGCAGTATTTAAATATTCAGACTATGTGTTCAGAACACAAAGATGAAAATACACTTTACATTGATGGACACAGATTTCCTTGACAAGACAGAAATACATATTACTATTTCCTTGCGACCTTAATGAAGATATTGGGTATAAAGAAATCAAAACAGGCAGCTACATCATAACTGTTCCTCCTCAAATCTGATTCTGTCTTTTTCAGTCCTGGGCACGTGTTACATGTTAATTCCTTCAAGGTGCTAACATTAATAAGAGCAGTAAGTGTCAACCAAAAAATCTTAATTAATTTTAACAGTTTTTGATGCACATTATCTGGGTAGAATATATGAAATTATTGTAAAAGGCTTCCAATAGAGAGACATACTCAAAGACTTTTTCCAGTGTCACTGGTCTAATTACTCTAAAATTCTGTATTTGTTACAATTTCTGGCATCTATTTTAAATTCATATTAACACATGAAGCATGACATTATATCAGACCAACTAAAAGTAATATATAGATATGATCTAAGTTTTTAATAATTCTCAGAAAATTATTGATCTAAGTATGTTCTAATTAAAAGCCTAAGATTACAGGTTTTTTTTTTTTCCTATAACTTTTTCAGAATTGACTTTTTAAAAAAATCTACTTTGTTTTACAAAGTTATAGATCACTTTTGGAAACACATCACCATAAGACATTTGGGCTAGAACATTCTCCTCTATTCCAATCCTGTAGAACAACTGCATGGATCTTCTTCCAGCACAGGGAATTCTGCAGTCCACTTCAGTACAGACAAGTGAGAAACATTAGAGCACTAATACTAATAACTCTGCATACTGTTGGCTTGTCTTTGATTTAAACTGAAGCAACTGCTTTTATTGAAGAAATTAAGTCTCTCACTGTAAAACTGTTCTTACTTGCAATACACTCAGACCAGTTACAATGTACATGAATCACGTAAAAATATTTCTATAAAGAAAACAGATGCCATTAACAAAAATTTTCTTTGTCCTAAGAACAAGCTAAAAATATAAAATAATGGCCTGAAATAAAGAAAAAAAAAATCACTGTACTTACATTTTCTTTGGAAATTCCTACATCAACACATAGACAATTTTCACCTCTAAAAATCTTTAGTAGTGGAATATTACACAACATTTTTTTCAGTGTAAAGAAATTAGAGAAGATAAAAATCTTCGAATAACTATTCTGTTTTAATTTCACAGTCAAACTGAGAGTCTCACCTTTACATACAGAGGTTCTGTAAGGTTCTCTATAAATACGCAAGCTTTTTCTTCCCACACAGGATTGAGGTTCTTGTGTATTGTCTTGCTTTTAAATACCTCTTTTCTTCCAAATTTGAACTTGACATATGGATCACTTGTTCCTGTTAAAGACAAATATAAGGATAGAGCTATAACTATATTTTTCATACATTAACAGAAAAGAGATCAAATTGTCTTAAATAAAACTGAATATCATCTTGTCTAGTAGTTAAATTAAAAGCAATGAAGGAAGTTATTAAAATTTTGGTTTTACTATCACGTTTTATTTTATGCATATGATTACTCAGGTAATAGCACATAACACCACAGAGCGAGTGCTTACACTCTTTTTTGTTTGGAATCCAAAGTCTCTTCATCCTGGATGAAATATTTGCTGAACCAGCTTTCAGTTAACAATAGTTTGCCTTTGACAAGGACTAGGATTTTATCTTAATGCAATCACAAAAATCAGATTGTAACTTCAAAACAATTTCTGCAATATCAGATTACATTGTTTCTTTGAAAAGGATTAGAAAAACACTAAGAACAGTTGCACTGACGTCACTGCTATAACTCCCACCAGCTTTACAGTGCCTGGGACTCCCCGCTCAGTGGGAAAGACTTTTTACAACACCCTTAATGAGTAAATTCACTTGAAGGGCACTCCACAGTTTCACATGCTCCAGCTGCTGCAACAATACCTGCAGGAGAAGGCTGGAGGCAAACTCTCTGATACAGTCAAGTAAGAAGTTCCTGGGACTAGAAATGGATAGCAACAAGTCGGGAGGAGGACTGCAAGAGGGCAGGGGCTGAGGGCACACAGATTAGCTGCTCATGCAGGCACACCCCTACATCTGCTCTAAACTAACACCGTTTTCCCCTCCCTCGGCGTTTTGCTGTGGGATTGCTGTGTTGCTGTTACCACGCTGCTGCATTGCTCCTTACAGCCCGACCTCAGCTTGGCACTGCGTCAAATAGGGCTCACCCGCAGGGAGACTACACCGGGGCCCCATGGGGTGACCATGGGGAATGGGGAGGGAAAGCGCCTCCTCGGGGCCATAAACACTTGTGCCCAAATACAACTGCCCTGCTCCCCAAAGAAAAGGGAAGTGTGAGCTTCTCCTCCTCCATGAAAAGCCCTCCTTTCTACACCTTTGCTGTCCTCCCCCTGTGACACAACATGTTTTTGGGGAACCACATTAGGGAACTGATGCAGCAGCTACTTTGCAGCTGGACAGGTTCCTGTTTTAAGTTCAGTCCACATCGCCGAGGACAATGGCCTTATTACGCTGCTGCCTCCATGGGGTATGAAGGCACCCATCTCTTCCTGCGTGCTTTCCAACACAAGCATACAGTTCTACTTTTAAAAAGTCGGATGGGAAAATCTCTCCCCCAAGGTGTTGCTAGATGGGAAGCCAGGCGGGTCCAGACCTCTCCGCACTGTTTCATGCAGCCACGAGATGGCACTGCTCTTTATCGAAAAGTCCAAATCCTGTGCAAAACTGTCTCCGTGCAAAACAAGGATTTTGCATTTGCCAGGGTTACGGGCCTTCCTTTTTAACATCACTGGGACAGTCTTTCAGTACAGTCATAGGTTTGGGCCAGCAGCAGAGTTGACTGACTTGGGCCTTAGCTCTTCTGGGGGGCAGAGCTCAACTTGTCTGTCAGCAAGAATTTTGAAACCCTTTCCAAAGTTTGAGATAAATGTAAAACAATGTGTTGCGAAATATATATATATAATATATATAATGAAGAATTTAAGACCAAGAGGTTAAAAAATACTAATTAAAATTTAAGAGTCAAATTTCCTAGTACAGTGGGTCATCTGTTATGTTCACTTAAAATATACTTCAAATAAACTGGTTTGGATCTCCATGCTGATACAGAGTGTGTGTATGTGTATACATGCACACAAACATGTTTCTGTGTTTTAGTTTCCATCAAAGTGAAGAGTTTAATTTATATATGCAATATTTGTCTTCTTTTAAAAAGAAAAAACAGAATGGGATCACTCATGATAATAGCTTGCAAAGTGATTACAAGATACTTACATGAGAACAGAAAAATTCAAAGACCCTTCAGAATGAGAATAATCAGACACTTAGTCATAGATTCCTATTACTAAAATCTCAAACTTTTCATCTGTTTCCTTTCTGTCAAATGATTCCACTGATTATCAATGGATCAGATGATTCTGGAACACTAAAGCCTAATTTTACACAGGTTCATTTTACTCCTAGAAGTAAAGAATATAACAACATTCCTGTCTCTCTCATGAGTTTACAATTTGCTTTCAGAAAATAAATAAATAGTGAGCTACTGCTATTTTGCTGAAGGATCGTCATAGCCACTGCGATGGCAATATGACTCCTTTACACATGGTGGCAGACTCTCTTTTCCTACAAAACACCAGCCTAACAAGTACCTGAATATGCTGCCAACAGAAAGTAGCCACTGGTACTAGCACTTGCTGTTGTGTGATCCTGTAAAACGGCCACACGCTCCTCCAGTCCTGTCAACCCAGCTCACTAGAGTGTGTGGATGTGCCAAAAGCACCGGCAGGGTGTACCTGCTCTCTGCACGCCGACGGCACATAAAACGGATTTTGCTTTGCAAGTTTGGGCACAAATTAGGTCTCTTAAGCAGACAGAAAAACAGGCAGAAATATCTTATTACAAACATACTCAATTGTTAAAATTAATACTTAAAATTCCCTTCCAGAAGCAGAGAGCCACGGAACTGTTATCAGAGTGAAAACACAAGAAAGGCAATTTTGGTCAGAATAACTGCGAGAGTTGTAGCTGAGAAGTAAAACCTAATTGCTCTGTAAGTTCTAAACATTCACAACAAGGCTGCATGTTAAAGCAATCTTTTCCCTTAATCAATAAAGTACCAACGATAAAGTACCAACAGGGATAACTGCAACCATGAGACCAAGCTATAAACATGAAACTGACACAAAGCAGTAGGAAGGATAAGGCAAAAATCCTCATACTCCACTACAATATTTGTGCACTTGATTTGATGCGAGGGCAACTTAATCAGCCAAGAAGTCCAACATTTGGCCACTGTTGAGCTACGTGTGATGTACAAAATGGGAACTTGACATCCAAATCCTAAAGGCAATTTTTAAGAAAGAAATTTCAGGCAAAGAGACTTACTAGTATATAAAAAGGAATAGTATAATCAAGCATAGGGGAACAACATATTAAAGAACAGCAGACACTCAGTCATCACTTTACCTTGTATTTCATATAGTTGGGTTTTTTTTGTTTTTTGTTTTTGTTTTTACAATTTATAAAAATAGTGAGTTGGCAATTACATTTATTTACACAAGTGAATTATTTCCTTTAAACACTTAACTACTTAATGCTAAAAATTTCACTAAGCATGACTAAATGCACTGATTCTATTTTCCAGCTCAGCTACCCTTTGGCTTCTCAGACCTATTCAGAGTAATTTCTGAAACATAGTAGTAAAGCCATATGTAAGCCCTTACCTGAAAAATCAGAGTGACTTTGCAATTACTGCCACAGAGCACAGTAAGATTGTGCCACAATTATTAAGCTTTTTGTCTTCTCTCTGGGAATGTCTTCAGACAGATGAGGAAAAGGTTTCTCAAGAGAAAGCAGAATGGGTCTGAGAAGCACACCTTACTCTCTATGCCCTCGAGCTAGTCATACAGGAAAACAACAAACAAAGTCATGGGGGTCCTTTTTGGAGGCAGTTATGATGGCTGCAAGGGGGAGCTGTGGGTGCGTGAAGATCTGCATCTACAGCAGCCAGCTGAACAGTCTCAACTTAGGGAATTTCACATTTTTTATTGTCAGTTAATATAAACTTTTAATTACCGATTCAGCTATTGAGAAAGACATTAAATGACAATTAAGTAAACATTTACATAAACACCTTTCCTCCCCACCATGCTGGGCTCAGTTTCAGACCTCTCTGCTCCCCTCACCCTCCCCTGCAACAGGGCTGATTTCTGCACAGGCTGTCCTCCTTTGGGGGCATCAGGACCCCACCTCAGCTAGTGGGTCAATCCTAGGCCCGTAGCCCACACATGCTCCTGGGAGCTCGTAGATATCCTGCCTCTCACCACACACGTGCTCTCGCCAAGCCATGAGGCAACTCACCAAGTCTGTAGCTGCGTGGTGCTGCACTCCTCCATTTGCAAGGAGGGCACAAAGTTCTGTCCCAGAGCCAGAAGCCAAGGTTCTGTCCCAGAGCCAGAAGGTCCGGTGAACCTCCATGAGCATTCAGGCAGGGAAAAGACTCTTCAGCAGCCACATCCTGCTCATCTACCTTTCCCCAAACACCCCCGTTCTGCCTAGGTTCCTGCTTAGCCATCAATTAGTGATAAGGGCATAGAGACGAGGTAAGAGCAGCACCCAAGGGTGCTGACTCAGGCCAGCACCTTCTCAAGAGGTATCTCCTCAGGCATGTGCCCTAAAGCACAGGCGTGTGTGAGGTTAACAGCTGCCCACACATCTCCAACTGTCGCAAAAGGCTTTTTTATTGCTAACAGACTGTCCTTTCACCTTCCTAAGACGATAGCCATGAAAGTTACAGGTAAAGCACAGGGTAAAAGGCAGTAAACTAAGCAAAACAAAAACAGAAAACACGGGAGAATAAATTTCTTCATGACTGCAAGCAAGCTGGGAAGATACCCATTTCTATAAGCAAAAATAAGGCCAAAGCATGTTATTAAGAAATTAATT